AACAGAGCATCTACTCTAATATGAATATCGATAAAAATAACGTTTAAACAAATTATATATATATATATATATATATATATATATATATATATATATATATATATATATATATATTCACATAGCATAAACAAAACAGAAGTAGTGCACCAATCTTTTCCTACTCCGAAGCAATTCTGTGGTGAGAAACAAAACCCACCAGTCTACAAATTTCCAGAGAGATCATTGAAAGTAGAAGACAAACCCCTGATCTATGTAAAGTCTTTTACCTATCTACAGTGGAACTTTAGATGATGAAATCATGCATAGGATTGCTAAGGCTACCAGAGCTTTCGGCAAACTTCGCCATCGCTTGTGGAATGACTGGATACAAAAATTCGAGTCCACATCCTTATGTACGGCTCAGAGTCGTGGGCTCCATACAGGTACCATATACGCCAGCTGGATGTTTTCCATAAAAGCTGCCTACGTGCAATCTGTGGAGTTAACCTTCAAGATAGGACATCTAACGTAGACCTGTGTAACAGGTGTAGTATTGGAGGAATCGAGACTTTTCTCATACAGTCTCAGTTACGGTGAACAAGATCCTAATGTACAGCGAGTTTGATCAGAGCTACAGGAATGTAGGACGCCCATGGCTAAGATACAAAGACAAGCTGAAAAGCAACTTGTCAGCTGTCAATATACCGCATAACACCCTCGAGCGCTTAGCCTTGGAGCGAGTAGAATGGTGATCAACTCAGCAGTTTTCACTCTGCTTGTGTGAATCGTCTTCAAGAAGCGAGAGCAAGATCTAAAAGGTCAGCCAATGTAACAGTGGAATCACCCCACAATCCTCACTCTTGCTCCATATGCGGCCTCCTTTGTAAATCACTAGCAAGTTCTTAAGTTCCACTTAAGATTATCGCACAAAATTTCATAATTGAATCAATTACGTTGTCAGATCCTCGTATATATATATATATATATATATATATATATATATATATATATATATATATATAAGCTTGCGGTTAACAAGAGTTAAACGAAAAGGAAGTGTCAAATATTTATATTTTTTATCGAATGGTACTATTTTTTCATAACCTAGTCGATAAATAATTAAATAAAAGCCTTATTTATTACGAGAGAACCACTAATGTCGGAAGTGGAAGTCCACCTAGAAAATAAAAAAAATCCATTTTATTTTTTGCCACGTGTGAATCAGTTAAGCCGATGTTAAATGAAGAGTCTGTGGATTAAAAATATTTTTCGCAATCATCTATTGTGGGAATTAACTAGAATTGGTGCGCGTGCATGCGTCGATGATGGCGAGATCATGACGTCAGAGCGCGTGAAGATAGTGCACCCTGGAAAGAGGGAGAGGGCTGTCTGTGTTTTGGCGTTCTGAATGGCCAGTTATTTTTACATTTCAGTGAGCACAAGTTGATTTAATCAATCTTCCGAACGCACGGTATTTTACTTGTCAGAAAATGTTTCCATTGACTTTACGATGATGGTGTCTTCACTCGGGTCATTGTTTGATCTGAATAGACAAACGCTATTTTTTTCCATCGCTTAAACAATTTTGAACTCAAAACTAACAAGCCTTGCCAATATCAGGAGAAAAAATCTTTAGAATGGCAGGCATTTACTGTGTGAGTTTTACAAGTAATTGTAACGGTGAGAATAACATACAGGAAACGTTAGGCATTCATTGACCGAAAAATTAGTGTTACTTTTGGTTGGAATTTATAAAAATCTTCTTTTTTTTTTTTTGTTAAGACATTTTTTTAGGAAATTAGACTTATCAAGTCCATTAACTGTTACGGTTCTTTTTAGTGTTGATAAAATTTACCTTCCTAACCTTTTGTCTATAGCAGTGTGGAAAGTCAACATTTTGATTATATCATTATTTTCGCTTGCTATCCATTTTAGTTGTTGCTAATCTTGAAAGTTTTCAAGTGATGTGTTGTTTTTTTTTTGTTTTTACTATTTGGTAATGGTCTTTGTTTGTGATTATGTAGCGCCAATCTATAAAATCTTCTTGAAAACCTAAAGGGTTAATTCACTTGACAGTATTTTTTAATCATTAATCTGAGAAAATAGCTAATATTGTAGACATTTATGAACTAGTTAGATGTCATGGTTATCCATATAAGAGCCTCGATCTGACGAAGAAATTTAAGAACGTGACTCCAGTTCCTAGGTTATTTTTTTGGTTTTGTGGCTTCTACAGTGTTGGACAAAGCTACCCCTAATGCAGCCTATTCTATGTTCAATTTCCTTATCTCTTATACTAAATTTGTTATACATCATACATATAGAGTGCGATGCGTATTTTATAGTTTTCGCGCATGCGTGTTGTTTGTTTTTGATTTTGTCAACTGCACAGTATAGTAAGGTTAGTTCTGCACCGTCTGTGGGAAAAAGAGCACGATGACGCAATTTACTTCGCTAGAAATTTGGAAGCGGCAAGCTTTACTGCTTGGAATTCACACCGAAAGCTCGAATACGAACATTTCAGAGTTTTTGGGTGTCAATCTGAGGACAGTGCAGATGATTCGGAAAGAGTTGGATGAGTCTAATGGTGATTACGAAGGTACAGCAGTTCGGAAAATTCACTCTGATCATTCTGATAAGAAAAGAACTCCCGAATTTGTGGGTGAGGCCCTCAGACTCAACACGGGGGCCTATATCAATGGCCTTGAGGAGGTAGTGCTACCCTGGATCAAGAGGGCGGCTGTTGGAAAACCCTAGGTCTGACAAGAGACTCAGCACCATGCCACGCAAGCAAGAGAACAGTCATGGATGTCAGACAATTTCTGCGACCAAATTAACCCTTACATCTTGGCCATATAATCGCCCAGACTGCAACCCCCCTTGATTATTGTGTGTGGGGTGCAACTGAGCAGGAGACCAACAAAACTCCATGTAACACTGAAGGCAATGATTATGGCAGCATTTATCAACTTAAACAAGGAGACCAATCAGAAAAAGATGCAGGAGATTCTGAAGTCGTCCGGAGACCGTGGTTGGAGCCAATGGCGATTTTATTGAATAAATTCACTCTTTATTGAACGAGCTTTTACAAGTATTCAAATAGAAAACAAGAGAAAGGGTCTCAATCATCGACTGAAAACAGAACCGATACGTCATATTGTGAATATTAGGAATGAGAAAATATCCGTCAACAGAATGGTTATTCACCTTTTTATAAATTAAAATTATTATTACAATTATGTATTACTAACTTTAAGTAAATTCATTCATCGATTCGTTTTTACGACTTATCGAGTCATTGCAGGTTCCTTAAAGCCAGAAAATATATTTAGCTTGTAAGAATTCTTTTGAGATAATAACGATTTTAGTGATAAAATACTTACTAATTTACCCATAGCTGGAGGGTAGATAGATTCATACCTTTCCCAGATGTATTTTTGCGTAAGTGTATATAACAAACCAGGAATTGGAACTCGGCTCTACGATTAAAAATTTGGAGCCATTATCCATTACACCACCTGCACATCCACGTTTACAGAACTTGGTCATCCAAAATGGTCACCTATTTAGGTACTATGCAGGTTCGACATTGCATAATTTCAGTGATCCGATGTTTCAACGTGATATAGCCGTAAGCCTTAAGTATATTCTGTTGAACTTAAATTAATATATTTCACTCGGATATATCGGGGTCTGGATTTCCCGAGCTGCCCTTCTGTTTTTTTGTTTTTTTTTTCGAATAGAGTGATTCATTACATCTTCTCGCTCTAAATGTTTTCCGCTGATGTGAATTGAAATGAGTAGATAGGGTCAATTGACGCTTTGTGCCGCTAAGAACTTTGGTTCACCGAGTCGGTTTAGACAATTCTTTCTGGCCCGAATTACAAGTTTTGTCTTGAAACTTTCTGCTATTCATCAATGCAACGAATAACGCTGTCATATCTGGCCTGGTTCTTCTGCTATGTATTTAGATATTCTTGACAAAATCCAAAGAATCTGCAATGAAATCGGATATGACCTGGTACCTCGGCTGAAGTCCCCCTGCCATAACGAAGTTTTCCTGCGTCTTTTCTATAAATATTTTATGAGATAAAAAAGATAAAAATAATGATAAAGATTTTTTTTATTGTTAAAAAAAGGTTGCAATAAAGAAAAAACGGCTTCATTGCCTTACTTGCGGTGAAATGATTAATAAAAAAAGAAAAAAAAGATTAAAAAATGAACGCTCTCCTAGAATAAAAATATACAAGCTTATTTTTTTTTGTGGTTAACCAAAAAATACGTTTGTAATTTAAAAAAAAAAAATCTTATATATTTTTTTTTTTGGCTAGGCTTGAAAGTAAAAACGAAAAAGAATCTTTATTTTTTAAAATAAAGATTCTTTTTCGTTATTTCTTTCTTAACAAATCTACTCATCGGCCATTTTTCAAAGCCGACTGTTTTTGTTTTTTTTTAAAAAAAAATTGCTCGGTTCTAGCTAAAACAAAAACGAATCGAAAGAATTGCTCACAAGAGTAGCAAATGATGAAACTTCGAACGAAGTGTCGGCTTCGTGGCAAGCGTGGCGTCTATTTCTGTTACTTTATCGAGCGTGCATCTGTCTCGCCCGGCAAAGGCTATGTTTATGTGAAATCTTTGCCCATCAATTAACGCCGCCACTTTAACGCTATGCCCAGAGGCGAAGGAAAGAGTTCACTGAGCAATAGATCACAGTCTGGATATCTGCCATTCCTCATAAATATTCTCCAGACGGAGAATAGCCGGCCTGTAAGAATTCTCACCATAGATTCAAAACTCCCAACGAGGTTAAATCACACATCTCTCTTTTGGCTTAGCTACAATATCAAAAAACCGGAGAAAAATTATCATCATCATCATCATCATCATCATCTATTGTGTGACAACTTCTGGACAAAGGCTTTAACCAGTTCCTTCCATGACCACTGCGACTGTGCTAATCTTTGCCACGTCTTATCAGCAAACCCTTCTTCTATCTGGTGCACTGCTGCTGTATTTGGGCGTACGGTCACACCACTTTGAAACAGCGGTTCCCGTACGATCACCGAAGTTAAGCAACGTCGAGCCTGGTCAGTACCTAGACGGGTGACCGCTTGGGAATAATACCGGATGCTGTAAGCTTGGATGTGCGGGTGGTTTAATGGATAATCGGAATTGTTAATCGGGGAGCCTAGTTTCAATTTCAGTTGAGTTCGTTATATCCACTTACGCGCAAATTCCTTGGGAAAGGTAGGAATCCACCTCGTCCCCCGTCCGCTATGGGTTAATTAGTAAGACTTGTATCGCTAAATTATTATTAACTAAAAAAAATAAAATTAAAATTGTGTACAAAATATTTAAGTTTCGGCATTAACTAACCCATAGAAGTGTTGATATACCAATAAATAAAAACAGCCAAATTAAATCTACGGTATTTGTTATCCATTGGGCACTATTCACTTACGTTTATAAAGGTATGAATCCATCTCTTCTCTCCCACCCAAGCTATGGGTAAATTGTAGAACAGACTGGATCCTACAGCACTGGATGGCAACCGGTTTAGGGAACGGACAACCCTGAATTCACCAACCCACAAATGGACAAGCGTGGTCAAAACAGATACACCCCTGAAGACATGGTCAATCAGGAAGGGGTTCCTCCAACAAGTAGGAATAGACTCTAGATTTTGATTTAGACACTATTTAAACAACCTTTTGATCCATCTGTTATCCTCGCTTCTTACTATGTCACCCATCCAATTCAATTGATTGTTGTTTTATCAGTTGCATGATATCTCTTAACATTTTTTAAAATCATTTCACCCCAAGCAAAACAATGTGAAAGCCACTAGCATGCAAGGGGTTACTGAGAGTAAAAGAAATAGATCGGGTAATACAAGAACAGGCTTCAAGGAGACAGAAGATGGCGATTGACATTGTATCTTGACCTGTGATCTGAACCATTAACCTTCTTCGATCGCTTACAGTTCGGCACTTGTCACCTGGCTGACTGTAAGATGATAAAATTTCGAAGCTAAATTGTTTGTCCATTTAAAAAGCTAAAAATGTCCATTTGAAGATACCATATTCTATTGTGTTTCACTCTGATGGTCGCCCAGTGTCTTATGCAGGGTGCGACAGATATACCACCCAATAATGGTAAAACATTAGCTTGATGAAGACACTATTGCCACTAATATAATGCCGTTATGTGGGAGGTATTTCTGGAAGGTATTTCTGAAAGATCTATGTGGGAGGTATTTGTGGAAGGAATATGTGGGAGGTATTTTTGGGAGATATATTTGTGGGGTATATTTTGGTGAAATCTCTGGAAGGTGTATGTGGGAGGTATTTCTGGAAGGTATATGTAGAGGTATTTCTGGATCGCACATCTTGGAACTATTTCTGGAAGTTATATCTGGGAAGTATTTCTGAAATGTACATATATGGGATGTATTTCTGAGAGATATATCTGGGAGGTATTTCTGGAAAATATATTTCTGGAGGTATTTCTGGGAGTTATATGTGGGCGGTATTTCAGTGAGTTATATGTGGGAGGTGTTTCTGGGAGGGATGTATGTGAGGTATTTCTGGAAGGTATATGTGGGATATATTTCTGGAAAGTGTATGTGGGAGGTATTTCTCGTAGGTGTATGTGGGAGGTATTTCTCAAAGGTATATGTGGGAAGTATTTCTGCTGCATCCTGTCTGATGCAGTTGCAATGTCCCCAAAAATTCTTCGAGTATCCAATACCACCATCCAGTCCCTTAATTATTAATCGACCATTTTGCTTTTGTTTGACCCGCCCCATTTGATTAAAACAAATTACTGACTTATTTACGAAAGGAATATTACCACTGAACAGCCCTTCTTTGTAATACTCCAAACCTCGTTTCCGGAATCGTTTCAATGTCCCGAATAAGAAGCTTGGTTATTATTCTGTAGATATTTTCTGTCTATATTTCTGAGATGAGGTATTATGTACACTATTTACATTACTCGGACTATTGTCCTCATCTTTGTGGATAAAGGCGTTGGTTAGATCCAGTGACAGGACTCAAAGAGTGTGAGTTCAATACCCGGTTAAGGTAGTGGAGAACTTGGAATTAATAGGAGATAACCGATAACTGACATCCATTAAACATGGCACGTGGAACTAGAACAGTCTATCCCAATGAGCGAAATAAAGGGTTCAGTTCGACATTCCAATCACCTGAAAAAGGCCGGAGCGTATAACGGCTGAAAAGTTGCAATAAACATGACGACAAAGATGAGGACAATAGTCCGAATAATGTAAATAGTGTAGATATTATATATTTAGATTTAGCGGAAATTTAACAATACATGTGATGAAATTTAGAGTTTTATTATCTTATAGTTGATTTCTAATAGCACACCTATTATGTAGTTCTCGCTAAAAAAACTGATCTTACAAGCCATTGATAGGTGAATTCCATTTTTAATGGATACTAGATCGGTTCCAATCGTTTCTCTGACGGCAAGATGATGAAATTTTAATTCTAAATTGTTTGTCTATTTAAACAACTATATTTATTAAGAAAATATATTAAATTTAAACACAGGCGTTATAAAATGCTTACTCCCATATCACGTTGAATCACCGGTTCCCGTCTGATCAGCGAAGTTAAGCTATATTGAACCTGGTCAGTACCTAAATGGGTAACCGCTGGATAATGCTATAAGGTTTGGTGTGCGGGTGGTGTTATGGGGTACTCGTTAAAACGTTGATCTTACAAGCCATTGGTAATGAATTTCATTTTTAAATGGTACTAGATCGGTACCAGTCGTTTCGCTAACGGCAAGATAATGAAATTTTAATTCTAAATTGTTTGTCCATTTAAACAACAACATTTATTAAGAAAATATATTCAATTTAAATAACAAAGGAATCATAAAAAGGAAGCCAATGGGTTGCATATTTCGGCTTTTACACTTCTTTTGTTATCCAAGGGTTATTGCTGGACAGAAAGAGAAATTAGCCCTAGTGACACAGATACTCATTTCATCTTCATTCAAATTGATTGTATATGTACAGTTACCTCGGCACATGTATATTTTAATTTAATAAAATACCTAAAAATATTTCTACAAAATTAAAAAATAATTCTGCTTATTACCGAACAATTGTTGAAAATTCGATAAAATTATTTGTTTTTTTTTTCCAGAGTTTAAAAATTAACGTTTTTTTTTCTTTGTCTTGTCATAAAATAAAATAAGACATATCTCGGCTGATTTACAGGCAAATAAACTAACATACTCAAGAGCGAGAGCCGGATGTGAACGGGGCAAGGCCCCGTCACAAAATGACCATTATCTTCGTTACGCATGTTCCCGACGTACGTGTTCCGGTTGAAAAATAAAATAATATTTTAAAGTATTTCTATTTTTCGACCAATAAAAATGCTCCCCTCCTAATTATATTCGCGTCGTTTTTCGAGCCTGTTAAGCCATAAACAAAAAAAACGTTATAAAAGAGGTCACACGGAAGTACAACGGGCAGTCAACAGGAGGCCAGGGAAGAGACCTGTCACGGTCAGGCTGAGTGGTCAGCAGCAGCCAGCAGCAGTAGCGACACGCCAACCAGCGAGAACAACTATGAGAGATCAACCCAGATCTTCAGCCGGCCTATGAACTATACCACAAGGTAGCTGTCCCAAAACCACACGTTCCTGTTGAAATAAATCACGTAAATCTATTTCTGCCGTTATCGTATTTCTTTCTTGCAACCATACGCTTGTCTATAACAGTCTCTAATTTTATTATTTTATTGTTCATTCAAGGACAAGGGTTACCCAGACTGTGAGCGAATTTATTATTCTAATGTATTATTTCAAACTGTGTCAAATTGTTTAAGTGCGAATGCTTGTGTATGAATTAAATTTCAACCGAAAGTAATACTGGCCGTTCGATCAATGAATGCCGACTTTTTCCTTATAATGAAACGGTTCATCTTATCATTACCATTTTTTTGTGATACTGTCTGACAGTTTGCACCTGCGACGATTTCTTTAAATAAACCTGCTTTTAATGTTTGTTATTTGTCCGTTAATTCAGCTCTGTCGTTGAAATAAAATGTTGTTACGGTCTGTGCGCTCTCGATTTTTATCGACATAACAGATGGCGAATTCGCTGCGCTCGTGAACTCAGTCAGACTCAAGTCGAAGAAATCTTACCGAAACTCGTGTAAAATGTCTCTTCAGCTAAATTTGTCAATCTATCCAACTTTCATCTGCGTAGATATGTGATTATCATTTCTCTTATGGCTTGCCGAAATATTTATATATATATATATATATATATATATATATATATATATATATATATATATATATATATGTGTGTGTGTGTACAAATAAGAGACAGAACAGATGGAGTAAAATCCACAGTTCATAGCATTTACAAGTTATCTACCATTGTCTGCTGAAGTACAATCATATTATTGAAACATGAAAGTTTTATGTAGCGATGTAAAATGTTTTTATTATAATCGTTTATAATAAAAATATTATAATATATAATATATATATATATATATATATATATATATATATATATATATATATATACCCAAGTATAGGATTGGTGCATACAGAACAAATTCCAATAACCCAAAAATACTATTCTTAAAAGAGTGCTCAATACAGAGTAGAGCAAATACATTTATTCGAAAATTATAACATAAATATGTTATAAAATCACTACAGAAATAGCCATTTTGTTCCAACAATTCTGGTGTCTTATCAAGTGATGATGTATTTTTTGTAGTGATTTTATAACATATTTATGTTATAATTTCCGAATAAATTACATATGTCTGTGTGTGTATATATATATATATATATATATATATATATATATATCGTTCACGTTGTCTAAAGATCTGAGCGTGAAACTCAGGTTACGACTTGAGCCATCTTTTCATAGGTATTAACGTTTTCAAGTGAATTTTTTTCTGTCTAGGTCAAGGGTTGCTAAACGTTTTTTTTCTCTTTGTTTCGAAATTAAATTTTGCTTGCGCCTCACCAAATTTCATGTGGTAAAAAGTACATTTAAAAATAAAAAAAATCAGAGAGAGGGTTAAAGGGAGTTAACCGTGGATTCGAAATCAGAACATTATTTTTGATGACTCTCTCCTCCAATTTTCGGATCATACTATACTCTAATTTTAATACCTGATAAAATGCAAAAATATCACAATGATCGAATCCGTCAATAATTATTTATAACAATTTGTCATGAGACTCATACATGAAATTACAAGTAATCCATAATAATATTTAAATTTTGAAATCAAAATTATTTTTAGTTTTATGGCATATGAATTTTTTGAAACTTTTTCTAAATCTTTGATTGCCTTTCTATCATTCCGCCTCACCTGCTATCCTCATATGAGGCGGGCCACCATGTTTGGGAACCATTGGTAGAGGTAATCTAGGTGTTGAACACTTTACTGAGTAGGTAGGTGTTTTTTCCTTCTTATTTCTATACTTGTTCGACATTTTATCTTGTTTAATGGTATTTATGTGTTTTGAAAAGTTGTCTGTTGGTTCCATTAAATGTTTTGGTTTTACTTTAATATATATATATATATATATATATATATTTATGTTTATACATTCTTTTTATAGATACAAATATTTAAGTAAATGCTCTGTTTATAATAAACAGTATTAAACATCATTTGCCGGCCTGAATGTCCGAGAAATTTTCACAGAAAATATTCATCCTCCGACAGGATTCGAACCTGTATCCTATACGGACCCGTCATTTAGCTTGACGTGCATTTCACCGATTTGGCCACAGAGGAGCGTTCGGTTAGCAAGGTCGATTTCACTGTCTTTAAACTTCAATCTTCTATGAATCTTTCACGTACATTCATATCTGCTCATGGCGTATCAAATGTAAACAAATGACGTCACACATTATGAAATGGACAAAGTCCGACTATTATTTTAACACACACACACACACACACACACACACACACACACACACACACACACATATATATATATATATATATATATATATATATATATATATATATATATATATATGGGATGGATAACTGTTGTTTAAATTACGCAAAAATGAAAATAACACTGATATCTCATTTTAACACATATGTTTACCAAAGTTACACAAATATATATTGAAATACTAAAGAGTAAATTCATTCAATAAAATCGCCATTAGCTTCAAAGATGGCCTCCAGACGACTTCAGAATTTCCTGCATCTGTTCTGGACAGTCTCCTTAAGTTGGTGAATGCTGCCATAATCCTTGCATTCAGTTCATCTTTCGTTTTATATAGGGTTTTGTTACTTTTTCACTCAGCCGCGCCCCACACATAATAATCAAGAGGGTTGCAGTTTGAGGAGTTTGGTGGCCGGATATAAGGGGTTATGTGATCGCAGAAATTGTCTGATAGCCATGATTGTGTTTTCCTGCTTGTGTGGCACGGTGCAAAGTCCTGTTTTCAGTCATAGGTTCTTCCAGCAAACACCCTCTTGACCCAGGGCAGCACTACCTCCTCAGGGCACTTGATGTAGGCCTCCGTGTTATGTCTGAGTCCCTGTGAGAAGTGAATTGAAGCATAACTTCACCAACACTAGTGATAACTCCAAACACCTTGGTAATTACCATTATACATCTTCAACTCTTTCCTAATCCTCTATACTGTCCTCAGATTGACACCCAAACACTCTGAAATGTTCGTTTTGGAGCTTCCGGCGCGAATGCCAAGCAGTACAGCATATATATATATATATATATATATATATATATATATATATTACTGCAAACATTATTATAGTGGACACTATTTGCTATAGACGTCCAATTTTTATTATTTATTAAATAGTCTAACAGCCTGCATATTAGAGAAATCATAAGATAACGGTTAACCCTAGACTTGAACAGGTTAAGACTGTAGTGATCAGGGAAGCATCCTCTCGGGAGTTTGTTCTACAAACTAGCAGTTCTTGGGATTGACTGATTGATTTGTTTTTACGGTTTATCAACCCTTTGTGATCTATTTAAGGCCGAAAGATATTTTGGATTGTGGAAGGTTGCTTACAGTACTCGATGTTCCGAAGCATTCTCTCATTTAAGTACTGACCGGGCTTGACGCTAATTACGTTTGGTGATCGAACAAGAACCGGTGTTTTCAGCGTGATCAGACTGTAGGCAATGTTCTTGAGAGGATGTTAACCGAATGGAACTTTTTATTAATGAAATACAAAGGGAATGAGGATGGGTCTGTTCCACAAAGTAACAGGTCTTTGAATTGACTGATTTTTTTACGGCTTATCAACACTTTGTGGGTTAAGATTATAGTGATCGGGGAATCATCCTCATGGCAGAGGATACCAAGAGGAGTCAGGTACATACGGGAGTGGTATAGGGAATCGATAATTTTGTCCACTATCTTTAGCGATGGGTTCTATGTACGAGTTCCACATGAAGTGTGGCTTGAGTTTCCCAACTGGTACTTAAAGCATGGAGCCTCCCTTAGAGAACAACTATTCATCATGACATGTGAAAATTCAGGGTCCGCTTAGTGATGATGGAACGTCACCAGTTTGGTTTTCGAGGCATTAAATGTAACCAGCCAGTTTTTCACCCCACTGGGCTGTTAAACCTCGGCCAGAGGCGAGACCGGCTGCCAAG